CCTGTATGCCTTATTATTCTTTCATTGACACATCCTACAATCATAGAATCCTCAGAGAATTTCTGAAGATGGCATGAGGCACAGTTTTATCTGGAGTTTTTGATGTTATCTAATGTACATAATGATTTTTGCCCCTCATGCTAAACACCTTTGAGTCCGACAGAAACATCACTCTCAGTCCCAGTAAAGGACATCCAAAAACCTTACACCATTCTGGTAACGCTGGTGTTCAAAAGGTCCCACTTAGATTCACGTCTTTCATGGCTTCCAGCCCCAAAACCCGTACATCATCTGGTACCTGCTGTTCTGATGGGCAGTAGTTTATTTAGGCTAATCCTGATAAGCGAGCAAGCTGGGGGCAGGGGTAACAGGACTGGGGAGGGGGGCGTCTGGTGGTCTGGATGATATTATGTTTTGGTCTGCCAGTTGAGAACCCGTGATAGAATTGGTAGATTTACCTTTATGTGAGAGACAATTACACAGAACAATTTAGCAGGATGGCGGTGGTCGTGGTGGGTTATATTTTTAGAGGGGATGGTTTTTGCGTTTTTTTTCCCAAAGGGTGGATGGCATCCACTTGCATCCCTTGACAACTCGACCCCTGGCCATAATCTTATATAAACTGTTTGTTTTTAACAATGCAGACAAATGCATGCCTACATTACATGCTTATGGGCAGTTTATCACCATACCCACTGGAACTACACAGACCAGCAGGGCACTGTCCAGAAGAAAACCCCAGCCTAACAGACCTGATATGAAACCGTTAGGACAAAGGCAAAAGCAACTTAAAGGTTTGGAGGGATGCTGCATATCTCACAGCAAGAACCACGTTGATGGCAGGTGCCTGACATGCCTGCGATAATCACTGACAGAGGAGCTAGTCAGGAGACCCTGACTGACCCCCCCCCCACACACACACACCACCACCACCACCTATTATCCCAAAAAAAGAACACTGGTTATGGTCTGCACCTATCTGTCATGACTGACTAGTGACATGGTCCAGGCTATATTAGACCTACAGTGAGTCCACAAGGGCTGCCTTTCCTAGCCTTAACACTGAGTGAGTCGCCAGTGGCCACACCAAAATTGTTTGGTGCATATAAACCACTGCACTCTTACTGTATTAGAGACTTTTGCTATGTCCTAAAGCAATTTGAATTTGGATAAAACATTACATGTCACCCTTCTGTTCTAGATACACCTGTGTAAAGAAAAATAACAGCATAAATATCTTCAAGTAAGTTATAGCCCCATGAAAGCGGATGCATATCGCATGCATGCCATCTCTTCACAGAACCTGCAGCTCAAAGACATCAGCAACCCCTGGGCTGCCTACCTAAGTGTATCCCTGTGTACTCTGAGTGGCTCCTTACCTCAGCCTCTTCCCCCAAATGTAAAATGTGTGCTTGATTGTATTGAAATCAGGAGACACACGGCCAGTGTAAACCTTTTTCCCCAAAATGCACGTCTTGCAGCTGGCAGTGTGTCATGCGTCTTCCGCTTACGTCATGCTGAAGCGTCACCCAAAGAGTCTGGAGGCATGTAGGCGAGATGTTTTTGTAGACTTCATCATCCTGCTGCCACTGTCAACAGCTGCATCATTAATAAAACTGAGTCAAGCCTGTTCCAGGTAGTCATGCACACTAAAGCCTGGGCAACACGCAGTGCATCGCTCACTGTTCCCTCCTTTTCCCACATGCATACAGTCATTTGCTAGAGGTTTGTCTTGGCCTGTACTCATTCATTTCTGCACCACCATCAGGCCCTGTTTAATTTTTTTTTAATTCCCCAGCAAACAGTGGGTTCAGACTAATGGTCTCCATCTTAGATTTTTGGCAGCTGTTGGGCTCAAAGAGTGTTGTGTGGGTTTGTGGGTTGGGACCCTATACTTGCCACCAGAAGGTTACTGGTTCAAATCCCATGACTGGTAGAGAGATCTCATCACAGGACTCTGAACCCCAACTGCTCCAGGAATATGACCTGATCCTAGTATCTGATCCTCACTATTATGTTGCTTTGTACAAAAGAATCTGTTATATGAACGCAATTTTGGATATCTACTTAGTCCAAATCAAGTATTCAGTAATTTTGTAAAATGGCTACCAGTAGACAAATGTTACACTGACATTTGTAAAACCAAGTTATTTAAAATATGCTTGGAAACAGAACAGTCCAGCATTAAGGAAACAGCCTGCATCACTACATTCTCTATCCCTAAGATGGACTGGTCATCTAACGCAATAAATTCAATAAAACTCTCTTTAATGTTTCTTTGGTATGCTGCTGTCTTTGCTTGCCAGATCTGTTTGAACACGTCTTATTCCACTGGATGCTTTTCTTTCTGGAGTCTTAGGACTTTTGTCATGTTGAAGGTCGCTCTGAAAACATTAGCACTACAGATATTGCAGGTGGCTGTGGGGCTGCATTAATTTCTACTCTGAAATATTTCCACACTGTAGACATTTCCACAATGTACTTAAAGCATTCACACTAACTTCAAATAAGCCTCCACACATGAGTCTAACCTGCATTAAGTCTTGAGTTCCAATAATGCGGTCATGAGTTGCAATTATGTCCCTTTACATCACATTTAAATTAACCTAAAACAAACTACAACAAAATGTATAACTGATGTATGACTATAGTGGTACCTGATGTTGCTGATACCAGTCGGACGCTCGGGGTAGATGAAGGCATCCCAAGGTGAGACACCTTCACCCTGCTGGTTATTTCAGTCGCAGATGGTGAAGGCCTTCCTTCAGAGCCTGGATTACACCCCCCCATCACCCACAGCTGTTTGCTGTGGATCAGCTGGCCCTTTCTGATTGCTACATAAACTGCTGCTCTTCTTTCTTTTTACAATTTGTTGATTTACCCGAATATCTATGCTATAGACCTGGTCAAATTTCTTTTGTCTTTCAGCAAACCATCTGCTTGTTTGATCTGAGTGATACTGATATTAGTTTATACCTGTTAATTAAAAGCATAACTGTAATCAGAACTGCACGTATTATGTATTATGACATTTATTGACATGATATTCAAAAAAGGTACACATACATGTATATATATCAATATATATACACACGCGCGCATGAACATGTCGGGTATACCTATGCTTATGGGGCCTGCTCATTCACTTCTATGGGGAAAATGTTAACGCTAACTAACAGGAAATTGGTCCCCATAAGGGGAAAAAAACAGATATTTATCACTTTATGGGGACATACACGCAAACACACACACACATAAACAAATGCTGAAATAAATAGTATTTCACCTCAAACCAGACCGACTAATTCCTCAGTCTTGACCTCACTGTCACACACTAATGGAGGGGACTGTACATTTATATGGCCTAGTTAGTGCAGTCTGCATGGCCTGCCTTTACATTTAATATGAACATTTTAAAACTCATATGGAGAGGAGGGGAAAAACCTCATGAATCAGTTAAAGGAACAGATGTCACTACCTCATGCAGAAAGAGGAACCCTCCTCTGCCCTCTAGGTCTGTGGAATTCTGTGGGGTAAAACTAACGGCCTGGACTGTGCCATCGCAAATAACACCACGGGAGAGCAATTATGAGAGAGCTGTAAATGAACAGACAATGCCAGTGATGACTATCCCAGCTGACGGAGAACCACGAGAGAGCGGCAGAAATATTTACAAACAAGCTTTCTAATAATACAGCTCACATTACAGCTGGCAGAGTGTGGGGAGGGGCAGAGACATTACTGGGAATTCAATCTCACAGTTACTCAATCATCTGTTGCCTTTAACGGTTCACAGGGGGCTGAATGAAACACAACCTGTTCATGCTGAAAAGACCCTTCTCTTTGTTGTTTGTTAAGCTTGGGTGAAATAGAAGCCGTGCTGAGCACAGAAATGAGATAGATATTTTATTCCCTCTCCTGGTGATGAATAAAGCACCAGAAGAGGAATCTGAAGAAAGAGAGAGGGAGGCAGAAGGGAACGAGGGTGAGATGGAATGTGGAGAAAGAAAGAAGCACAGAAAGAGGAAGAGAGGAAGGAAGAGGGTCTCTCTGTGTGGCAGCTTCACATCACTGAAAGAAAAAGGCCTTTCAACAGCGTGCAGTAAGCCAACACCATGAATAATACAGGGGTGTTATTATCTGCTCTTAAAAGCAAAGAAAGGCCCAAAGGAATCCCCCAGAACTGTCCCATTTTTGCAGTGAAACACAGAAAACAGCTGTAAATAGCTCTGTTACACTGGGCTGAACACCATCATGCAGGCCAAAATCGTTCAGCCACCACTGTCCTGGCGAGCATCAAGCCAGCCACGCTATCTCCCCAATAGATATAGTGATAGATCATGGAAGTAAACCAAAGTAGTAATAGATCATTTGCTTCTTAACTAGCCAAAGTAAATATTTATAAATGCCCCATACGGCAACAAAGTTCTTTCCACGAAGATTCAAATGCAAATGGACACCACCTTGTAAATGATGTTTTATAAACCAAATCCTAGTTACTGTATTTGTGAAATTGTGATGAATAATTGAATTCTGGCCTGATGTGTTTCCATACTGGAAATGTTCATTTTATTTATTAATTAAATGTATCTTTGAGAGTGACCTCAATCTTAATATTTAAACATAAATTTGAAAAATATGTAATCCGGCAGTCCAAGAAATATGAACTAAGTGAAAATTGAATTAATCTTGATGAATGTTGCTAGCATGTCACCCTGCCATTTTCTACAGTTGCAATTAATATGCAGATGTTAAGCAGTCACATTTCATTTTTTTTTTAATCTCACACTGATTGCCTCCTTTCACTGCATCTTTATACAGTGACGTAACCCAAACATCAATTATACCCCAGTAATTAAACTGTGTACTTATATTATATGAATAACAAAGATAATGCAGTAAAATACAATGTAGAATCCAATGTAAATGTTACTCAGAGCTCCCTACTCATCCATGCTGAAACCAAGATGGTTTTATAGGGAAGCATGTACAGTGCTTACCCAGGCCGCCTGCCGCAATTATCCTCCCTCCAAGGAACCCAGCCACAAAATCGGCCCGCTTCTCCTTCATTCGAGATGCCCGCGTGGGTTTGATCCAGATCCCTGCCAAGAGGCACACAGAAGAGTCACGACACTCAAAACAAGACCTCACTCTTAATAATTGGTCATCATTTAACTCTTAGTCATTAAATAGTCATTTCAGAATAAGACTACTCTTAGATCAGTCTGTGTGTCAGTATCAGTCATTATATGTCTCCTGCAGGTATTATTATATTTGCTTGTTCTTGTATGAAGTTGACAAAGCTGTAAAGAGTCAAGATTTTCCTTTTCTAGCAAAAACATGCCAAGGAATTCCTAGTGCCTTTGCTCAGTGTTCCTGTGTCTCCTGTGGCTCAAACCACTACCATTCTGGCTATAAACCCAAATCCCTAAATATGGCATCCGAAGAGAAGCCCATCCACAAGGAGAATCCTCTGGGCATCAGTGAGCAGCTGGATTACAGGACCCGACATAAACCTCAGACTCATGATCGGACGAGTTCCGAACAAACACCACTGTACTTTGTGCAACTAGGGCATGACCACAGTGAGGAGAGAGCTCAGCAGAGCTGGGGATCTGAGGTGACAGTGGAGGCATCCTTCACCCTCAGTCTATCTCTGTGTTTGGATGTGATACGTCTCTGACAAAATGTTTTCTGTGGGCAAATATGGAATGAGCGATGAGAGTCCATGCTGCCAACAGGACGCGAATCCCAGAACGCAATCATGTTGATGCAGGTTGTGTGCTGTCTGTTTGGTTATTTGTCTGTCCGTGAGAAGATTGCATTCTCTAAATTCTGGATTGCGTGCTCCCCCCACCTCCCGCAAACTCTAGAAAAAAAGTTGCCTCTTTTCAAAACCAAGGAAAGATAGCTATATCTCCTCTCCATGGAAACAAGAGAAACACAGAGAGCAGGTCGGGACTGGAGCCTTCCGCCAGCGAGGGGAATGAGTCAGCTGGCCCCCTCCACCAGCAACAGCCCAAAGGCACGTTCTTATCCAAAGATTTTTCACTTCCATGATAATCTGACTTCAGAGTGCTAATTTTCCCTCTTTTCATCATTTGGCACTCGAGGGAAGGGTGAAACTGGGAGGACACTTAGTTTACAGAATAGGGATGTGAAGCACCTTGGATTTAAGTGAAGGGCTTGCAGGAAGCATCTTACAGGTATCGCAGAAAAATGCACTCTGGTTAAACAGGTATTTTTAAAAAGGTGACCTTTTTTAACGTGCTACTTTGTTCACTGGTTTGCAGGTTTAATGCTAATAATCCTGCAAGGCACACATGGACAATTACAAAGAAATGCACATCAACTCATAATTCAACAGCACTGATACACTGAACCTAATTCTGATCAAAAGTTAGATGACACAAGTCTGCAGAAGCAGAGCCAAGACCCGACACCACAAACGGTCTACTCCAAATAGCCACGCCGGACTTAGCCCCGACACACGTGCCCTGCCTTGGATGAATAAGGCATGTCAAGGCTGCTGCCCTGGAGAGCCCTTAATCACAAGAAGCAGATGTGTAATCCACTGTAATGAGCCTCGCTAATCTGTTAGCCCAGACGCGTGGAGCCACCTACGCAGGGGGACATGCACTGCCACCGACATGCGACTAAACCCTGCACTCGCAGGACCAATTTAGCACTTTCAATGGAACAATGAGAACAATTATGCAAATCAAATATGTGAGGCAATTAGATATGCAAAACAGAAGAAAAAGGGAGAGAATTGTAATAAAAGCATGAAATAGGAAAAAGCATTAAGTTATAGACTTATTTCAATAGAGCTGAAGTGCACTACGAATTGTCAATGTCTAATGATCAATGTCTAATTGTCAATGTTTAATGATCATCAGTCTTTATATGTTGAGTAAGATCATTATGGTGAATCAGAGAAACTGTGGTTACTGGAGTTTTAATCAAACTGTTAGGAATATCTCATTGCAGTTACCTTTCTACACTGTTAGTCAGTGGGGGGCTATCCAGAAAGGGCCACTGCGTATGCTGGTTCTCACTGCAGCTCCCTAATTAGATTACGAATTAGAGTACTGTTTGGCTGAACAGTCCTCAAACCTGGGTTTGCACAGCTGACCTAAAGGTTATCCCAAAAACCTGCAGACACACTAGCCAGTGCCCTACCCACCCCACCCCCCAGCAAGGGGGTGGTGATGGTTCAGCAGGAACTGGGTACCTGGGTATCAATTCAGAATTGGCCCTGGCTGCTGTACTGCCAAGGAGCTCTGATGTTTCATGGGTGTAGATCAGGGACAATGTTAAGATTAACAAACCCAACTGGTCGTACTCAATGAATACTGAGCGACCTTTACTATAATAAAGCTCTGTTAAGGAGACAGGCTTTCCAAAATGGGAATTAGACCATAAAAGGAGCACCCCACCCCAATCGAGATTGCTCTCCACAGCAGCCAAGATGAAGGCTGTAAAGATATGGTCCAAATCTCTCTGTCTTTCTCATGTTCAGCCCCAAAGGGAATTTGGCCACTTTCATAATGATTTGGAGCCCATACGCCCCCCGGAGGGAGCCCCAGGGACACATGCCCAGCGCACATGATCACTCATTTACTGCCACAATGTATGCCATCCTACGGAGCACACAGACTAGCCTGCCCCTGCACGCACACCCCTGATCACAAGCCCTTACTCTGGATGAATGCAGAGGAACATGGGGAGGGATTTTTCCTTTACGCCACAGCACAGACCCTCAGCCATAAAATGTATTCCGTAAGCTGAAGGAGCTGGTACTTATGACTGCTTTTAAATAAGGAGACAGCTTATGTCTAACCAGTAGAATATATCTTTTCACAAGATTTACATAAAATATATTTCCACTGGATTTCATTCATTACCATGCTTTTACAGAGCTGTTTCTTTTAACATCAGCAAATCGACACTGGCATTATTTATAAAAAAACAGCACAGTGCATAGATAACTCCGTTAGGTATCTTGAGAATATTACTGAAGATTTCTGTTTTTTTTTTTTTTTTGTACAGTTGCACTGTTTCCTCACACCTCCTGGACTGAGATCTCAGACGCAGTTGTGTGACCTGTGATCCCTAGGACAGGATTCAAGCTTTTTCTGTGACCTGGACAAGTGGTGTCTACTACAGTACCTGTCTGTCTATCTATTACATACATAGTCTTTATCGCCACTGAACACATGTTAGAGCCCCTAAAGCAGGCACTGAAGGACAGATTAACCTGCTTACACCATATTATTTCATCTGGCAGCTTTGGGGAATAAACACATTAACAGACCATGTTAGACACCTCTGTCAGCACCAGGGCTAATCTGCAGTTTGGACAGTGAATACACCCCAGGGCTAATCTGCAGTTTGGACAGTGAATACACCCCAGGTTCATTTGCATGGTGACGGACACTAAGGCCACTGCAAAGGAACAGACCCCAGGTCTCCCAGAGTAAAGACCACCAATGGTCTCTCAGAGTAAAGACCCCTGATAGTCTCCTAGAATAAAGAACACTGACGGTTTCCCCAAGCAAAGACCACCGATGGCCTCCCAGAGTGAAAACCCTCGACGATCTCTTAGAGCAGTGGTTCTCAAACTTTTTCAGCAGGAGGCCCCCTTGTGTAGGGTGAATCCTTTTGTGGCCCCCCTCCTCAAAAAAAAAATCATGACGCAAAACTGCCACGCCCAGCTTCGTACGATCCTCGTGTGTGCCACGCCCCCTCATTACCTCGTGTCAAGTCCTGATTGTGATCACCTGTGTCCTGTTATTTCTGGCTAGTCTTGTGTATTTAGTCCGCGTCTGAGTACGTCTCGTCAGATCCATCATTGTATTGTACGTTAATGTCCATGCCTGTCTCACCTTTCGTTACAATTAAAACTCGTTTACCCGTATCTCCGGCTGATCTCTCCTGCTTCCCGACTCGCCTGCCTGCCGACGCGACAAAAACATCCTCAAACTTACAATTTTACTTAATTTTAGATTTTAGATTCTGTTTGTAGTCTTTATTTCTCTGGTTTGTTAAATTTACATTTCACAAAATATAACATTGTATTAAAACTGTTTTGACAGTAAAACTAACATTGTATGAAAAGTGCAACAAAAGTACTGAATACTGAACATTAATTTATGATGTCCATAGCAGCGTAGTGTGCTACGTAAAATTTATATTTACATTTTTTTTATACTTCTATTATTTTTTTTTTAAATACATTATATTTTACATAGGTTGACAAGCCTGATTTACATACAGGTAATTTTTTTTTTTAGATTCTACAATTTCGATGCGGCCCCCCCTAGCGCCATCTGGTGGCCCCCCAGGGGGCCGCGACCCCCAGTTTGAGAACCACTGTCTTAGAGTGAAGACCCCAGATGGTATCCCAGAGTTATAACCCCTGATTGTCTCCTAGAGAAAAAAACCATGACAGTTTCCCTAAGTAAAGACTGTCATCAACTTCCCAGAGTAAAGACCCCTGATGGTTTCCCCACATAAAGACTCCTGACAGTTTCCCAGAGTAAAGACCCCCCCCCCCCCCCGATTGGCCTTCCAGAGCAAACACCCCTAATGGCATCCCAGAATAATGACCCCCAACAGTCTCTCAAAGTAAAGACTACAGACCAACTGCAAGAGCACAGACACCAGACAGTCTCCCACAATCGACAGTCCAATGTTTCCCACAGCACATCACCACTTCAGATCAGAGAAACACAGACAGAACCAGAGGGAGTCAGCATTTGTGTCTCTAGTTTAAAGCCTGTTTTTAGCTTATGACTGCAGCTTTTTTTCATAATTATGTGGGAGATGATGCAGGGACAGATGTAATCTTAAAGTATGACACTGTGACCTGAGTATCTACTGATTATAAATCACTGAACGTCCAATTAAATAAATACTATTACAGAGAGAATGACTTTCATGTTAATGCAGAAAAGTACAAAGTTCTTTGACGAAATAAATAAAACATTGCTTTGAAGAGCATAGTGGATATTGCAATGTTAAGCACATGATAACTTGCATTAAATTCTTCTTATTTACTCCTGAATGTTTGAAAAACTGTCTCCGAGAAACAATTTCA